AATTGAATTGAAATAAATTGAATTTATTCACAGGTGTATAGTCACTTAGCCAGACATGGCATATTTTGTTATTTTTAAGATAAGGTAGGCCTTTTTTAAATATTATTATTTATTATATACTGTACTATATGTATATGTACTACACATGTTCTAGGACAGTTCTGCTGCCATTACCATCTGCCTTTTTGCACTACCATAAGAATTGTATATTTTATATTATTGTATATTTAATATTTTATTGTCTGTTGTGAAATTGAATGTTGTGCCTGTGCACTTTATGTGTTTCACCGTGGGTGAATGAGAAACTTCCTCTCGATCCCTTGTATGTCTGGTGAATGTGAAGAATTGACATTAAAGCTGACTTTGACTTTGACTTTGACTAAAAGTGTAATTTAATACAAATTATAGGGAAATACACAAACTATTTAGTTGGTAGCTTTTATGTCGGTGCACAACGGGCCAGCTGAACATTCAAAAATTTCAATTTTTGTCGGCAAGGAAGCACAAATGACGGAGAAGTATACAAGACTGAGATGAAGATAGCTCTCTAAAATCAAGTCAAATTTATAAATGCATTTTAAAAACCAAACACACATATTGTACGTGTGTGAGTAGAAATGAGGGCAGATGCATGTGCTTTTAGAGTGACCTACCAGTTGTTGACTTGAAGGATGGTGAGACCTGTGTCTTGTGCTAGCTGCTTTTTCTGTTCCTCTGAGGGGTATGGATGCTGTGAATGACAAAAACATATAGCATATGTGATGTAGAGACGGTTTAAGTGTGCAGGCTCTTGTTCTTCAAGGAAAAACTCCCACTCAGGAAGTGTAATCATATTCTTTGCCAGTCTCGCCCATGCACAGTAATTCCTGGAAGTGTGCATTTTGGAAAAATCGGAGCCTGACCAAGGTTTGGCCCCCCGAACACTTCAGGCTAAAAGCACGTGCCATTGTGTGACAGTATTTGACATTGCTTGACAAACGATTGGGTGGGATATAAACAGGCACAATGATGGCTTTTGTTTGGGGCCCCAATAAGACTAGGACCCCCGTTACACCCTCCGCGCTTTGCTTCATCCCCCTGTCCTCCGGCCCTGGTCCCTCTGCTAGCTCTGTGTATGTGTGTGTGTATGAGCGACAGTGGGAGGAGGGCAGCAGATGGTAGACAGAGGTGACCCGTGCACTGAGAGCAGGGTCGCGGGCCAGTCCCCATTCTGCTGCTGTCAGGCCAGCAACCGCCTCCTGTGGCCATCAGTGAAGGATGAGCTTCCAAGCACTTCATTTTGAAACTGCCTTTCAGGCTAAGTCCACACACACACACACGCATATATCGTTACACTACAGACACACACAAGCTCAAACACATGCATACAAAAGCGTATGCACATATGCAAGAACATGCACTGCACAGCTTCAATTTACTTGAGCTAGAATGAAGATAGACCCTTTCTATGTAGATTGTGCACTAATATAACTCTGCAAAGAATAGAATATTTAAACGACCAGTGTGTAACATTTAGGAGGATCTACTGGCAGAAATGGATGAATCAATTTTGTTATTATTATTATTATTATTATTATTTGGATACAAATAATACCTTGTACATGCCCAGCCCAGTTGCACGCACCAATGCATACTACTGTACATCACTTTAATACTGATGAGGCAATGTGTGTCTTTTGCATATGATTTCTAATCAGATTTAAAGACATTCATCTGCAGAAAACTGCAAGTTGTGCTGATTGCAGTACAATGTGTAAGATACTTAAAAGAAGGGGTGAGACAAGGGTCTGTTTTTGTAATTATATTCTGGAGGATTTGTACATATTATAGTCATAGTCATAGCATACCAGGGAATTTAATCTTGTACCTCAACTGAAAACAGTCACATATCAGTTGACTCTGACACTTGTGACCTTCAGTGGATTCCAGGTTTGCTCCCCAAACTCAAACTTTAGCATCAATCTTTGAATAAGTATAAATACAGGGTTGCATGGAAACTAACAGTTACAGCCAGGCTAATGGGCCGATAATGAATAATATAATGAATCGAAACCTTTCACAGCTGGCTTCTCTATAGCTTCCTCAGAAGGGGATCTTTAAAGGGTCTTCAGAATGGACGACAAAAGCAGGAGACTACAGCTAGCGGTGGACAGAAATACCTACCCCTCCTCCCGCCACCAACGGCCTACCAACCGCGGGCCTCACACTGCAACGTCTGACAAAACATAATCCTGCTCCTTTCACACTCTCAACGACTGATGAATGCTTGATCGCTTGGGTGTTGCAATAGGCCTTTCAGAGACCAAAGTCCCCTTGCACACTTTTCATAGGCACATCCTGCCATGGCAAACACTTGTGCTTAACAAATTAGGCCTGAAAGGGGATGGTGAACAGAGAGGGGATAATTCAATTATCCTCCTTTTTTATCTGGAAAATCTAAAGGTGGGCTTTGGAAAGGAAGGGATTACTCCAAGTACAGGACCTGTGCGGGCCTTTTACAAATTAAACAACTGTGAGGTTATAACACATCTGAGAGTGGGAGAGGTAGAAAAACAGAGGAGGCAGCAGCACTGTTATCTTTTGGACCTTGGATAAAAGGTAAAGTTCTCTTCGAGGGGACTTGCTCACCCCCTCTCACAGAGCACCGAAACAGTGCTGCTGCTTTTGAACGGAAGGCCTCTGATGTTGATTTCTCTACAAACCCAGGACTAGTATTTCAAAAAGGACCTTTAGACGTGAGTATGTCTTTGCTCTGTCTCTTATAATAGAACAAAGGTGAACTTGCCTTTGAGAAATCTAGCCTGGGCTCATTCCTGGGCGAAGAGGCATTATTTCAAACAACTGTTGCCTGATGGAGAGGCTGGGGTTGGACAACATTCATTTCTAGCATTAAGTTAAATCAATGTAGGGTTGCTGTTAGAGAGAAGAAAGAGAGTGTTGTGTTTTAAATCTATATAAAGCTACAGCTGGATGTGGCTTGTATAGAGAAGAAATTTAACAGGATCTGGGGTAAATTCCCTTACCGTAAGGTGCTGGAAGAGCCACGCTCTCATTATATTTGTGGCCACTTTAGGGAAGATGCCTCGTTTCTTCTGCCTCTTCTTGTCTTGATCATCTTCATCTCCCGTGCCCGGTGACGCTAGGCTGTTGTCGAGGCCGTCTCCTGCGATCAGAGACAAGAGGAATCACGTTACGAGAAATCTTTAATTTGGCCCTGTCGCCTTCATCCTCCTCCATGAAAAAGTGCAGAGAAGGGGCAGGCAAGAGGAAGATTACATTTCTCCAAGATCCTTCCTCTCACCTCTGCTTGACTCCCCGGCCACTGGATAACGAAGAGGAGTTTGTAGTGTGGGAGCTCAATAAAACCGAGAGCTATTAATTCAATCTGAGCCACGCGTTTGACATGAGGTAACGACTGCAGGAGCTGTGTGCCTGACATGAAATAATGAACGTTCAGATTGCAGTCGGATTCAGTGCTATGCACTCTTACTTATATGTGACCTCTGTTTGAAATAAGACTAATGATTTCCTTATAAGTAAAATGAAGAACAAACAAAAACAAAAACAAAAGTCTGTGAATGAAGTCTGACATCAAACCCTGTGCTGTTTGAAGTCAGAAGTGAGGCGTTCATTTGGGGTACTGAGGCAGAATGAGGTGGGTTTGGGTGGGTGGGTCGTTAGGGTGTGAAGCCATCACCCTTGCGTTCCCATGTGATCACTGACCCCCCCTTCCCCCACCCTCACTGACAACGTCTGTGTCGGATTGTCTGTAGTGCAGCGTCATGCCGAGTTCTGGATCCTGCCATCAGCAGCATCCCTGTTTGATTTCAGTAGGAAGCTGGCATGGATCGAGGCAGGAGGCTTCCTTTAAGCAAAGATTTCCGCCCCTGCTAGCTCTCTCCATCTTGCAACACAAGGGACACTCCGCTCGCTCTCCCTCTCTGCCATTAATTGTGCATCAGCCGAGATGATTTACTTTTAACAGTGGTGGTTATTTTTCTTGCCCTCGGGGCAGAGAAGCCTTGAAAGCCTGCCTGGAGGGCATGTGAATAATGCATTTGAGAGACTCCTCCCCCGAGGCGGGACAGGAACCCTACTTTTCTTAAGATTTGCCCTAGCATGTCTTTTTGTTTTTAGAAATGCATCAATCAAACGTGCCTATATGAGCCATATTCATGCATAAATATTTCAGCTAATGAATATTGACATTAAAAAGAAACTGTTCTAGGGTCAGGGGCTCTGGGGGTTGTGGGAGCTTTGACGGATGGCGTCCAGCTCTGATTCACAGACAGGGTACAGGGTTCACACTGCCTCTGTCCTCTAGTCTTTACTTTGTTTTGTCCTCCACTTCTCCTACAGCCTGTCGGTTAAGTTACTTTTTATGGGCAAAGGTTGCCTCAGGTGGAGGTTTTATTTACTTATTTTTTAACTGGTTTGGCCCAGAGCTGCTACGATTACTCGATTAATCGATTAGTTGTCATCTATTAAATTGATCTGAAACTATTTTGATTATTTATGAATCATTCTCATCATCATGAGTCATTTTTCTTCAGGAAAAATCTCTGATTTCAGCCTCTAAAATGAGAATATGTTCGGGTTTCTATGACAGTTAACTGAGGACATCTCTAGAAAACACTGATAGTTGCAGCCTAGCTGGGCCAATTACCAACCAGCCCAACGAAGAATGGGAATGTCATCTTCTTACAAACCCAACTAGATAGCTAGTTGCATCAATGTACACAAAAACAACTGAAACTTGATCTCTTAAATTGACATATCTGTTTGAATTTCTAGCAACTGTTAATCTGTACTCTTGGGTTAGGGAAAACAGAACAAAATAACTCTCTTTCAACTCCCTTCAAGAAATTGACACAATGTTGAGCTGAATGAATAAAAAGGAAAAAATAGCAACTACTACAGTATTGTAGCTAAATGAATATGTTCAATCTAAAAGAAAATGGATGATTAATTGGATTAAATTGATTAATTTCTAAGACCTGCTTGTTGTTAACTAATGAAGCTGGTGCACGTCTATCTCTTAAAAGAAAAAGGGATAGTCATTTTGATATATGATGGCCTAAATCAAAGAGCGGCCTCAATAATAAACAGTGGGCTAATGATGACTTGAGTTTTATCTTTGAGTGGTACTTCATATTTAGATTATAAAACTATACTTTATACAGAGAAGTTCATCTTTGTCAAGAAAGAAAGAAAGATAGAAAGAAAGAAAGAAAAGAACAAACAGGACTCGTCCGGCCTAATTATATGTAAGGAAGGCACACTGTTTTCCCCTCCACCCACCCTCGACACCCCACCCTGGTCCACCTCCTCTCCTCTCCTCATCCCTCTTTCTTCTGCTCCAGAGAGGGGAAAGCCGCAGGGCAGATCCTCTGCTACACTAATCGCTTCTGACTGTTCCCCGGCAACTCGGCCAATCTAACCAGTGTGTGACGGTGCAGTCTCAAAGTCGTACACCCGTGCAAGTCTCCCATGCCCCCCTTGTCCCCCCTCACCCATGCCCACCCCTCCCCGCTCCACCCTGCCTGCCAGTGTCTGCATGCGTGACCCCAGAGGGAGGGGGGGGGCTGTAGATGGAGGGAATGGGCATTACCGCAGGGATGGCTGGAGTATTGCCCCAGGGCTAAGAAGAAAAACACCAAAAAAAAACAGCACCGTAAGATATGAAGAGAAGTCTTCCTCCCCTTTCTACCCCCATATACCTCTGCTGCTCTTATACAGTGTACAGTATTTCTTAGCCAGGACTCACATTTTAATCTCAATGAGACCTATAATGGTGAAATAAAAACGGAAAATCCTCACCCTACATACATCCTGTGTTGTTATAGATTTATACCTCTTTACACTATTTAGGCTGTTCAAACTCCTTGCTGTATTCACAACATTTCTTAGTCATTGAGATATTGTGAGCGCTCCATATTACAAGTTTGTTAAAGAATGACAGACAGATTTGACCTATTCTGGTGTCTCTAACTCAGTAATAGACAACAGCTTAAACAAATTATAGCTTTGCCACAGGTCTGATCATGTTGTATGCCAGACTGTTCAGTCTGCTCTATTTCTACTGTATTATTTTATATTCATTTATTTAGCTATTTATTAAATACTGATGATTGTAGCTTAATTTTTTTTAAGTTACTTAAAATCTATTAATGTATACGAACTGCATGCATGTACATGTGGGTGTGCATTATGTTTATGTGTTTAAGTGTTTCCTTCTCTTCACTGGAGGTTATGTTAGATGGTTTGGAGATTGGGTAAGTGATGTATACAGTTTATAAACTGGTATTCATGTATTGCACTGAAGTAGACTGCTGTGCATCAACCTGGGAAAAAGTTATTGCAAAAAACAAATCAAGAAATTATTATGAAAATAAAAAAAAAATCCACATCTTATGTCATTGTTTCTATTTTTAGGCCTAAAAACCCCTTTTTTCTTACCAAGCTAAATTTAAACTGAGCCAAATTCAATATACTGTACCAGTGAGAAAAAGTTGCTCTGTGTTGGAAAAAACACAACATAATCTTGTAGTCTTATTTTAATAACAGACAAAAATTACTTGGCAAGATAGAGATTTTTTTGCATTGTAAATTTTCACATATTTTATTTGCTCCGTAGCTCAGTGGCTGTTAATGCCGGCCAAAGAAGCCAGTGGATGATGTGTCCATAAGACAAAGTGCGGAGTGGCTAGCAGAACTGATTGCAGTACTCCCAGCTGCATCAGTGATGCAAAGCCAGCGTGGCCTGTCTAATGAGCTCAGCGGGGCCCTGATCCATCATCAGTGACACCTTGCGGCCCCTCCCCTTATTAGACATGATACACAGCTCTAAATGGAGTAGTCTGGAAGGTTTCCAAGATGTGGGGAATCCTCTGTGTGAGAAGGTGAACGTTGCCATTAGAGGCTGTTGATGGGGAGACGCAATTGTTTAAAGCTGTAAAAGCCAAGCAGTTTGGATGACAAATGGCAGCAAGAGGATATCTGTGGTATTTCTGAACCCAGGGGAGGTGACATTTGCGCTTCACTATTTTGTGACTCATAACATTGTAGGGGAAGTGTCCGTAACTAACTCTTAATTTGGGCGAGGTGCATAGTACATAAGTAAATAAAGTACATAAGTTTGACCAAAAAGGTAGAATTTACTGGAGATGACATATTCCATTCAGAGCTTGTTACTCAAAAAAATCACATTTATTACTTGTTACTCTTTTAATAATATTATTACTGCCAACAGTAGTTAGTTACAATACTGGTTATATTACGTTAAAATTGGTTATTGAGTCCTTTCTCTCCGTAATTCAGTCCCAAAATCAACTTTTGTTTGTTACAATCAAAGTAATGGGAATATTTTCCAGCTGCTGAATGTAAGCGTTTCAATCTTCCAAACTAGTTTCCTGCTTTGTGGGGGGTATGATTACAAAAAAAAAACCTGGGATGTGATTGGCTTGTTGGATTTCAAATCAGTAGGGGGGGTGACAACAAAAGTAAGGTTGTAGATAGTTATTTTTGGGTGGTAACTGTAATATTATTACAGAAATGTGTTAGTAATTAGTTACACTACTAGTTACTAGGGAAGGTAATATTACTACTGTAATATTATTACTAGTAATGCTTTACTGCCCAACACTGATCATATTCTGTTATGCAGACCCACTTTGAGCTAAAAGCCTATGTGTACAAATAATCCTTTGTTCCATTTAAAGGGTAGGTTCTTAAGAATTGCAATTTAAAAATAAATTTTTTTCTCAATTAAATCAGGAGGTGGACAGAATTTTGTTTGTGGTGCTCACAGCCTTGATAAACTGCGTCCCATAAGGGCTTGGCATATAGCCTGCCTCCTCTGTAGCCATATGCACACTATATGTAATGACTGTTTGGTACATACTCGTGCTCTTGTCAGTGAGACTTGTGATTGCACTCTCCAAATCTCCAAATGGTCAGCGTAAAAATGGATGTACATAAGGCAACATCAAGAGTGTGTTCCCTGTGCTGTGTGTGACCACCAGCTAATTACAACTGCCGGTCAAACAAACCAGGAGCTAATCATCAAAAAGGAGCCTTTCGCAATTGACAAACTGCATTTAGGCCGTTTCAGATTTTGAGAGGTATGCGCTAGGTCAGCGGATCAGCTAAAGTTACATAACTACATAGCACAAGAGTGCGAAGATTGAACTCAACCTTCGAGAATATATATATATTTTTTTTTCGACTAATTATTTTTGTGAGAGCAGGCCAAATGAATTCCTTTCTCTGTGCATGGTGTATTTATCTCTTTCTTTGTCCCCCTCTTTTGCATCGCTGTTTTTCCTTCCCTTTTTAAAACATTTCTGAGATCCACGGTGTGACAGATGCCAAAGGGACATTAGCCTGCAGTCTGAGTGAAGCTGTGATGTCATTGGCATGTCAGCACCTCCACATTCCTTCCTCCTGACTCTGGGCTCTGGATGGAACAAAAAGATGCAACACATCCTGTTCCTCACATTCCATTTCTCAACACAAGTGTGCAGGGTTTGTTTTTGAGTCACTCCCACTGCCTTTTGTTTTATTTGTGTCTTTGTGATGGACATTTCAAGCCTCTTCCTTGTCCTCCCCCAGACCCCTTCCAAAACATTCCTGAGAGAGCCCAGCCCCTTTAGCTGCGGTCAACAGCAGTCACCCTGGGGGTTGAGCTATCAAAGTCAGCCCTCTCTGCATATCACACAGCTTACAAGGCAACAACCAAAACCTGGGAGCTTACAGAGGAACCAAACCACCAGCTGCACAGTGGATGGATCATCTACCTGTGGTTAGCCAGGGCTGGAAGCCACATCGCCACCACTTTAGTGTTCCCAAAAGACGGTGGATTTTAAAAGGTTTTGTCGGACTGTGAAGGCATGACTAATGACATCCCACTACAGTGACGACAGCAAAATCACTTCCTGTCTTCTGTTGGACTGTCATTCAATGTCACTCATGATTCCCTTTCATTTTGGAAAAAGTATGAATTTAGATTTTTTTGTTGTTGCACTCACAGTCATAATGTCTTTAAATGACTGAATAGTGTCCTCTCTGTTTTGGGGCATGCATCAAACAAAGTAGTTATTTTTGGCAATTAGTAAGAAGTAAGGGTACTCATGTGGACCAAATCAAAAGTGCCAGTACCCATTTCAGACACTGTTTTGGGATAAATTAATGAATGTAATGAATACATTTGTAACCAACAAAGGCTTAAGATATTTTCCTTAAACAGGCAAAAAATATTACTTTAAACTTAACTTAAACTTTGTAACTGAGAAAATGCTTTCATTATTTATGATGACATTATCTCCATCAAAATAATTGCATTACATCAGTTAACAGTTTACTTTTTACTTTAAGGAATGTGTCCCCAACATTTACTGCTGAGATTTTCCCAAATGGTTGTTCCTACAATGTACGGTTATATTTAGTTTGCTCAAAGCACAAGGTTCAAGATTGTGATAGTGGTTAAATGTTGAAAAAGCAAGGCAGGGTTAGATTCAACACCAACTCCATAATGATTTATATTTACATTATTTGCACATGGCAAATATGGTGGTTGGGATTCCTGAAAGGTTGCGGTTATGGTGCAAAAAGGTCTGCAGGTCAGTGATGGGACACAAGATTTAGTCTTGACACAAAGGTTACAGCTGCACGCCCATCCACCACCTGTACTTTCCACTTCAGTACTTCCAGCACTGGCACTGAACATTGGCTCTGGGCATAATTTGTGCCAGAAGAATTCATTCCAAGGGAAAAACGTCACACTGACTTGAAGGATGAAATGGGGTACACTGACTTGACGAATTTGACCGAAATCACCATCTTTCCTTTACTTTAACCAGTTGCCTAAACCTAATACTGTGTGCGACACAGGATATAAACTCTGGTTTCCAGAGCCAGAGTCTTGAGCTTTGTATGTCCAGCTATTCTTCTTGAATACCATTCCATGACTTAAAAAAGTACGTCACATTTTCCGAATTGGAAAAAAATAATTGCCAGTGAGCATAATCCATGGAGCAATTATGTTTCTCACAATTATGTTTAATTGTATTCTTATGTCAAGTATCACCTCAGTCTCTTCAAAGTTTCTTCCTACTCAACATTGTATATATCTCGATATATGGACCTTGCTAGTGAGGAGGGAGGAAACTTTCTGGATTTGGAACTGATACTGGGCAAAGGTACAAGATTATGGAGTCAGTGCATCTGTACAAAAAAATGCCAGGGTGACTGCTAGAAGGATAAGGGACACAAACCTAGCAGGCTGGTGATGAAGGCATATCATTCGCTCAGTCTCACGCCAAAGCCATGTCATGGACCCACATTGGACACATGGACCATCAACACATTACTCCAATATTA